TCTAGTTCCATCCATTTGCCTGCGAATTTCAAGATTCCATTGCTTTTTTCTGCTGAGTAGTACTCCATTGTATAAATGTACCACATTTTCTCAATCCATTCTTCAATAGAGGGGCATCTAGGTTGTTTCCAGGTTCTGGCTATTACAAACAATGCTGCTATGAACATGGTTGAACATATGTCCTTGTTGTAAGTACATGCCCTATTTGGGTATATACCCAAGAGAGGAATGGCTGGATCTTGAGGTACACTGATTCCCATTTTTCTGAGCAACCGCCATACTGATTTCCAGAAACTCTAACTTTTTAAAATGAAAAAAAGTAACCAATTCCCTCTATTATTGCTCAATAGGATGCATGAATTAAATACACAATAACATATTCTTTTCTGAACCATACATCGGCTTGCTGTTTCCCTTGCTTTAACCTCTGTTTCCCGCCCCCAAGTAATTCTGTGCCCTGCATCAAAATAAACCCTCTTAGACTAGGTTTCATTGACTGCCTGATCTGAAACATCCCATAACTCTCTACCGTTTCTCAGGTCAAACTCAGACCCCTTTCTGTGGCATGTATGCAGAGTGTCCATCAAATGGTCTACTATTATGCTATCATCTCTCATCAAAGGCAACCTTTCTGTTCCTCAAGCATCCCCAGGATTTGTCTTTATTGTTATTATGGTAGAGCCTATAATTTAGGTGTTCTGTATATTCATATAACTTAAACATTTATTGCATACTCCCTGTACTTAGGCACTAGGGATGCTTGGGAAAAGATGAGGAACCTGAGGACCTTGAAGGGGTTGAGGCTCCAAAAGATTAAATATCTTGCCCCAAGTTTTACATTTGTTTGAGGAAATGCTGGATGATGAGTGAGGCTGTTTCAGAACCGAACTCTGTGCACTGGAATCTTATAAGGAGACAGAAAATGGGATTACAGAAGATAATATTGTACAGGTTTGTTTTCATCAACATGACAAACTAGTATTGCCCTCGAATAAGGAACCTTGATTGAGAAAATACCTCCACATGAGATAGGCCTGTAGGCAAGTCTATCGAATATGAGGTATTTTCTTCATTAATGCATGATATTGGAGTGTGCAGTCCACTGTGGTTGGTGCTAACACTGGAAAGATGGTACCCAGTTGTAAATGTAGCTGAGAAAACCATGGGGAGCAAGCTAGTAAGCAGCACCCTTCCATGCCTCTGCTTCAGTTCTTGTCTTGACTTCCCTAAGTGATGGATTGTAAACTGTAAGATGAAGTAAGCCCTTTTTTCCCCAGCTTAGTTTTGGTTGTGGTGTTTTGTCATAGTGAGAGAAAGCCAACTAGAACAAGGAGCAGTTAATGAATCTGCAGCTACTACTCCTTGCCTGCTGGTATTAGGCCAAGGGGAAGCTGTGCCCCAACAGGAGTCAGGAGGCAGTCCATCTCCACCCCAGCATTCTTCTGAGCTCTAAGGAGCAGAGCATGGGCCACTTCACTGGCAGATCCATCTCCACCAACACAGACAACACTGAAAACACAGAAGCGAGCAGAAGAAATCAGAGTTAGTTCACATTCATGAAGTCTAGAGTTTAAAACACTTTTGAACCTTGCTCACCAAGAGTGTGTGACAGTGCAGTAGATATGATCATTCAAAATAACTTCAAGCCTTTAGTAACAGACAATGGCTCAGAAAACACAGCACTAGACAGGTGGAGATACTTTATAAAACCAGCCTATCGACACTTCTCCAGAGACAAAAATTATTTGAATTACAAGGCATTAAGCAGTGAATATTCAAACTCATATCTAATCGGAATTTGCTTGTTAATATCCAAAAGCATGGTACTCCAGGTTTTTGAACTTTATCTGTTTTGTTTCACAAGTTTCTATGAGCTTTCCCAATGCTTAATGAAGTTTGTTAAAATCCCTATCCATGACTATATGCATGTTGTGTGTGATCTAAAAGGACCTTGTAAACTCTTCACCCCTACACAAAAATACAGTTTAGATGGAAAGAACTTGACTCTTACATACATAGGATGGCAACACATAACTACAAATAACAGCATTACAGGTATGTTAACTCATTGCTAGAGTTAGAGATGGCCTTTCCATGAGTATTCTGCCAGATAAATACATACATACATACATACATACATACCCTGTGAAATTTGTCATAACACAGAAGTTAGAAAAATCTTTTGAAACAAATCTAAATGATAACTATAACAATAGAACCACAGCAAGTACCATTAGTGAATAACAGTTAATGAATATGAGTGTATACATACCAGGCACTATTCTCAGAACTATGGGAACTACTTAAATGATAGCTGCAGACAATAGATATTGATAGCTTTCAATTTACAGATTAAGTAGCTTTCTCATGGTCACCTGCTAGCAAGTATCTACACTACCATTTAATATGAAATCCAAAGAATGTGGCCTTATGGGAATTTTATGACTTTGAAAATCAATTTGAACCAGTAGAACCATTGAGGTATATGACATAAATCCAATTAATGTGAAATTGGATGAATTAGAAAAGAATATACTGCTTTGTGTCAAGAACTACTAGACTGTTGATCTTTACTGTCAACTTGACCAGATTTAGGATTTCCATGGATGCATACTTCTGCGTAAGTCTAAGAGTGTATTTCTAGAAAGCTTTAACTGAGTAGGGAAGACTTTGACTATGGGCAGCACCATCCTATAGACTAGTCCCAGACTGCGTATAATAGGAGGTAGTGGACTGAACACCACCAGTATTCATCCCTCTCTGCTTGTAACTATGGAAACAATGTGACCCACAGCTTACACACCTGCTGCCATGCTTTCCCACCTTCAAACTGTGAGCCAAATCAAACCCTTCCCTCCTTAAGCTGATTTTTTTTAAAGTCCAGGTATTTTATCACAGCCAAGAGGAAAAATAGCTAATCAATTTGATAAGATTACATCGAAGAATATGACATAAACCCAGTGAATGTATTTAATATAAAAACATCATGGAATGAGATACTATAGGGAAAGAAAAAAATCATTCTCTCACAGTAAGTTACTATATGCTGAAGAGTTACTTGAATGACCCCTTTACATCTGGTAAATCTTACTGTTCTCAGAGTGAGTCAACTTTGCCACTGGCCTCAGTAAAATTATTCTTTCTAGAAAAGTAGAATCGGGGTGAACATTTATTTCCTTTTAAAAAGAATGATAATAAAGGTTTTTGAAGGGACAGCTTGTATATCTTCTATCACAACCAATATTATCTTTGAAATATTGAATGCCAGATTGTTTTTTGACTCAGAGTTTGGCTTTAAAAAACTCTATAAATATTGTAAATACCACAGTCAATCTGAGAAACTGCCAATGTTAGCCAAGCAACATCTACATTATAGTTTATATATCTAATAGTATTATGAACAAAAGAATAATGCTATGCAATCCAGAAAATTAAAACACACACACAAAGAAAAAGCCAAGATTAGTATACTAACAATAACATAAACACTACAGGTTGGTTTAACAGTGTTCACCTTCTAGTGAATGCACCTGCCACAGCTTCCAGTCTGTGCAGCTGACACCATTCTCTTCTTTACCCTTACTTAACTTTTTGTCAGACTACATAAATAGAGGTAATATGGAGCCTAACCTTCCCCCAAGTTTTAACCATGGATTCCAGTGTTTTCTAGAACACACTGGAGTGGGACACCAGCTGTCATGGAGTGTTGATCTGCTGTGTCTCTTGGCTTTTGAAATATGTCACAATGTGTCTTCACAGAAGCATATGGAACTCGTTTTTAAAAACTCTAAAACCTTAGGAAATGGTATTTCTTAAACATCATCTAACAAACTGTTTCACTTTGCTGACTAAGCTACATTGAAGCATTTTTGGATTGCAGCTTCTCAGCTTCCTGTCTAGAAGCCATGAATAACTTACTAACTACTTCCAATCAATACCTCCACTGCTGTCAAACAGAGATCCTACCACTCATCAAAATGAAATGGCATGTTGGGTCATATCCCATATTTAAATCTTTTGTATAAACTTTTTTCAAAAATATTCCCTGACAGTGAATCTCGCAGTTTGTCACAGCGTGTGAGAGTGTTTCTCTTGCAGATTATTATTATTATTATTATTATTATTATTATTATTATTATTCTCTCATATATCACACCCTGACCTCAGTTTCCCATTCCTCCTCTCCTCCCAGTCCTTCCTCTGATCCCCCTCTCTCCAAGATCCACTTCTCTTCTTCCCCCTTCAGAAAAGGTCAGGCAGCACAGTGATGTCAACCAAATGGGGCATAACAAGTTACAATAAAGAATAGGCATGCTCCCCCCATATTAAGGCTGGATGAGGAAACCCAATAGGAGGAATAGGGTCCCAAAAGCCTGCAAGAGTCAGAGACAGCCCCTGCTTTCAATGTTAGTAGTCCCACAAGAACATCAAGCTACACAGCCATAACATAACTGCAGAGGGCCTGGGTCAATCCCATTCAAGCTCCCTGATTGTTGCTTCAGTCTCTGCAAGCCTCATGAGCCCTGTTTAGGTAATCCTATGGGCTGTTTTCTTGTGGTGTCTTGATGCCTCTGGCTCCTACAATCCTTCCTTTCTCCTGCAGGATTCCCAGAGCTCTACCTAATGTATGTCTGTGGATCTCAAGTTGTACTGGGGTCAAAGGTGGCACAGAACTTGTGGGAGTGACGAATCAGTGACTGGACCAACTTGAGACCCATGCCATGAGAGGGGGCCCCTGCCTGACACTGTCTGGAGGGTTAAGAACCAGAATCTGGATAGAAACAAACACGACAAGCAAAAACAACAGGAAGTCAATGAAATGAGTCCTAATGATACTTTGCTATCCTCGTAGACTGGAGCCTAGAATAACAGTCATCGGAGAGGTTTCATCCTGCACTGATGGGACGGGGGCAGATGCAGAGACCTATGATCATTCTTCAAACAGGTTCAATGAGGGACACTTCCTGTCTGAACAATTCTTGTTAGAGACTTGTTCTCCTGGAGTGTTTACTGAAATCATGTTTCCACTGTTTTCACAACCGTCCATGTATTTCTAAGTAAGGGAAATTAGAATTACCTTTTAATTAAGGTGATTACTCCAACCACACTAGCTCCTATTAGGAAAGCTAAACCCATCAAAATAAATGAACTACTTAAAATATTTGGAACATAGATGACTTCTAATAGAAATGTAAAATTATTATATACCCAAAGTAAATCAGTATTCCATAGGATTAGGACAAATTAAGGGACTTACTTAGTTCACATAACAGGACAATTGGTTTAAGAATGTGTAATAACTAGAGGCTCTATGTATCCTTTAACATCACAATGCAAAATAATTTCCACATGGGAAAATAAACTAAAAATGAGTATGTTTGGGTAAAGGGAAAACTTTCTCTGAATTTTAATAATCCTTTTCTTACTGTAAAGGCCTTCTAAATCCCCATAATGCCGTAGCTACCAAGAGAAGACACCGACAGATACCATACTCAGCAGAACATCCCAGGCCACCAGTGAGGAAGTGCAGGTTTCATATCTACATCCTTTATCCTAAGTTAATCAAAGTCCAAATCAAGGTCTTAAACGAGGCCATGATCTTATTACACTTGTAGCTTGGGACTCTGAACCATACTAAGTTGCTTATTGGCATGAATTTCCCAATCACATTTTTTCAATGTATACTTCCCAGAATATTTCTTTAAATGTAGCCTGTTTATCCTTCTGTCCACTTCTAGGTAAGAAATTATAAAGTAACTACCCACCTTGTCCTCTTGATAATCAATGCTTGTAGAGTATAGCCATCTAGATTTATTCCCCTTTTACAGCCCCTTTTGTTTAACCATGTTTTACCTTCTAACTCACATGCCTCATTAGGCACTACTTTTTTTGAAACTACAATTCAGTGCTTCCTTTGATGGTAACACTACCCTTCATGCATCTCTAATATTTCTTTGGAGGCTTTTTTTTCATTTGGGGGAGAATGAAGATGAACTGCCCTTCTCTACCTCAGTGGTTCACTGGTCTTTTTCTTGCTCCCTCCCCATCACCATGTGGCAGTCATCAACATACCATCTTTTAAAGTTCTCAGATAGCAAGGCTTGCATAAACATCTTCCCCAAAGTAATGTTTTCATCATATACGTTAATCCCTTACATTTGCAAATCAATTCTGTATCTCATTTGCCTTTTTCCTAATGTTCAAATGTCAGTGAGCAATGTCAGCACACTCCAGCAATGCATTACAAACAAGTTTCCAGTGTCTGTTATGAATGTCTAAGACATCTGCTTCTGTATGCTCAAGCTGACTACTCCCACCTATGGGGACCTCAACCACCTGGTGTCTGGCACCATGAGTGGTATGTGTTTCCCTGGCCAGCTCAGCACCAACCTGGTGCAACCTGGCAGTGAACATTGTGCCCTTCCCATTGTGCCTATACTTCTTCTTGCCCAGCTTCACACCCGTCACAGCTCTGGGCAGAAAGCAGTACAGTGACCCTAACAGTGCCCAAGCTTACACAGCATATGTTCAATGCCAAGAATATGACCATCTGAGAACCATGCCATGGCCACTATCTGACCATGGTCATTTTCTTACAGGACCCCAATGTCCATGAAGGAGGTGGACAAGCAGATTCTGACCATCCAAAACAAGAACAGCAGTTACTTCGTAGGCTGGATTCCTAACATCAAAGTGACTGTATGTGATATCCTGCCCTGGGGCCTGAATATGGCCTCTACCTTTATTGGCAACAACACCATGCATTCAAATGTGTTATTCAAGAGCATCTTGGAAAAGTTCTTGGCCATGTTCGACCTCAAGGCCTTCATGTACTGGTTTGCAGGCAAGGGCATGACCTGGGGTTCAAGCATCAGAAATACCAGATGCCATGGTCAAAAACAAGAAAGAAGCTTTTGAATGACGAAGAAGAGATCAACAAATAGACACTGTGGTACATATCTGCTCTTTACTTAGCCCTGGTATGGGAATGATGCCCTGTCTAAGCATGTCACAGGTCCCTCTCAAACCAAATACACCTGTGCTGTTTCTCCAGTTATCTGGTGCAGTGTTTTCCTTTAGCAGAGAATTGACAGCCCCACAAGACCAGGGAGATTCTGTACTTGAACACTTGAAAGCAAAGTAGAGGATCATACAGGGATCAAGAAAGCAACCACCTTCCAGTTAAGTGCCCATCCATAAGAGTTAACAGGGAAGTTAGAATAAGGACTTGCTTTTTATCCCTAGTGATAGGAACTAAAGCCATACAGTGTTGCCTTAATATGCAATATAGAATTTTGTGGCAATCTATTCATAATAAAATGCTAAACCTGTAAAACAAAACAATGTCTACTTAGTCAATAAATTATAAGATAATTAAAACCAACATCTTTTATTCATTCAGAAAATAGATGTTGTTACAAAATATCTACTGCAATCAATCACAACAAAATTTACTATTGAATAACTATTAAGCTACCAGTAAATTTGGAAAAGACAACAACAGCATTGTTATGTTGCATGATGAATATAATAGCTTTCATCAATGTCTTCTTTATATTGACCTGGTAAAAGTCTAATGCTAAGGATTTTAAGTACAAATATATGCGTGTTAAGTATAGGGTAATACACTGTGGTTCCTGGATACTATTAATTTAATTTCTCTTATATGATTTCCCTATGCCAGATCTTTAGAGCTAGATGACCATGATATATTAGTTTTAACTATTAGTACATGGATATGAACAAACATAGCCTGATTCATTATAATGCTTTAAAATTTTCAGTACCAAATATGTGACTAAAGCTAAGAAAGTTTTTGATAGCATAATTTTTATATATGTGAAGATTAATAATGCAACCTACCCATCAAATGCCTGGAGTTCACATTCACCAAGCAGGGATAGGGCATGTCCTTCATATTCTGTTACTATTAAAGAAAAACAAAAAATGAGTATTTTAAATAGCAATCTATGCTTTTTAAGCTTGGTTCTGCAAAATATTATGTTCAAAACATATGGTCTGGTCATAAAACAGCATTTATTCTTGAATACTTGAATCATAGGAAAGAGAATTAAACATTCATTGTCTGGTATTTTATAGCTTTAAGTAAAAGAAGACTGTGTAGTTGTTGCAACTATATAAGTCATTTAGGGATATCCAACACATAGTGTTTAGGGAGTTTATCTCGGTGCCTGTCTCTTTAGTTTTCCCTAAATAAGACACATTTCCTTTCGATCAGAAGCTTTGGAAGAGGAGTATTTTGAAAATACAGCATATTTGCTGGCATTGAACAGTCAATGTTAAATCACTTTGGCAACCTTACTTGAATAAATTAGTTGAAAGGTTAGTGTAAGATTTACATACCAGAAGAACATGTATCTGGAGATGCTAGACTCAAAAAAAAAAAAAAAAAAAAAAAAAAAAAAAAAAAAAAAAGGAGCTGGATGTGAAAATACAAAGTAATGCCAACTTGATGATAAGAAACCCAAACCCAGGGGGAGGCCGATATACAGGACCAGAGCCCAGGTCCTCAGAGGAAACGAGTCTGTCACAGCACATCTCTGTTGCCACAGTCACTAATATCCCATGCAGTCCTGAAAATGCCAGTGGAGACAGGATGAGTGGGAACACTGCAGATGGCACCGAGTATCACAAGCACATTTAGCATTTTCTGGGGCATCCCTGCCAGAAGAGGCAGCCCAGCTGTATCCACCCATCAAAGATTTCTGCTGACTGACATGACACTGCAGATGGATTTTTTTGTGTAAGAATGTGCATCATTATATGCAAGATTACATTAATCTTTCATGCCTGTCGGTCCCTGGTGCCAGCATGGTTCAAGCTTTTCCTATGATGTTTTTGGATATTGTTGAAAATTATTAGTCTTGGTGTCTGAGAGAATCATTCTGTTTCTAGTGCTGTTACACTGTAATTCTCCCCAACCTATTCACCAGAACAAAACCCCTGTTAAATTCCAATCAGAGGAAAAATATAAGAAAATTCAAATTATCAATATTAATAAAGTTGCAAGAGTGCATTATCATAAAAGATGTGTGCTGATAATTCATTTATAGCCATATATATCCATGTACAACCTTAAAATGCAATGTAGTAAGTGTTCCTGCACACACACATGGTCAGGATCACTAAGATTGTTATGAAGAAACACATAGGCTGTAAGTAAGTTTTCACAACTGGATTTTATAGCAAAGCTTGATTTTGAAAAAAATTTCAAATACATTATGAAATTATCTTTAAAGTTCTGTTTTGGCTAAATTATTTTTTATTTAAGTGAGAGTTAAACTATTTTAATTTTCTCTTTAACATCTCAAAGGGCATTTGATTATACACTAATGTAATACATTTAAGTACAGAAATCTTAAGGGATATTAAATAAGTTACAAAATTAATCACCTTTTTGTCTGAAACAAAAAGAAGAAACGTATGAGAGAAAACTGAATAGGAATTGCACAGGTGTAAAATGTTTTAACAGGATGGATAAAATAAATGGCCTTTGGAGAGACATAATGTATTCTAGTGCCAAAAGAACCTATGCTACGAAATAGTAAAAAGTGATCATAAAGAAACAGAAAGCAAGGAAAAGGATTAACTGTGATTTAGATGATTATGCAAAATAGAAAGAATCAAAATAAGTAACCAGACAGGCTGTTGTGGGCTCTAGAATCAGACACAGCCACGATTAACCCATCAAATGGGATCATGAAAAGGGATTCTCCACCAAGTTTTCCTTACTGTGATAACGCCTTTCCATCTTCTTTCCTTTTCCTATGAAGTCAGCATTCTGTGTCCTTTCTGTATTAGGGATGGAGAATCTATATTTCACCCTTCTTTGCCTCAGCACTCTTCCACTGCAGCATAAATGTTACTACTCCAGGATACTATGTCTAGGTCACATAATTTCCTGAGGTTAATACTAAATTTCCACAATGAATTTGAAATAAAATACAGATGCAGTATGATTTAGACACAAAGAACCATGTCTTGGTCTGATACTCTCAGTTTTTTATGGGATAGGATACTGAAATACGGTTTTCCTCCTCTCCCACAGCATTCCAGTAAGCTCAAAGCAGAACCAGTCCAGGATGCTCAGCTTCTAGCACCTTTCATAACTTGTACCCCTACCCCGTACACAAACTTTGTGAATAAATTTCTCCAGATGGCATCATTTTCTGTCAGGTGAAATAAGGAAAGGGAAAGCTACAAAAGTAGAGCCACATAGAGCAAATGAGAAAGAACACAAAGTCACAAGGACCAAAAACCAAGGGCCAAAAAAAAAAAAAAAAAAAAAAAAAAAAAAAACATGATTCCACAAGTGCTCTGCTTTCTGAACAATACCCCCATGCATGAGGAGGCAGAAGTATCTGGTGCCTAGACATCCCCAGGGATCCTGACCTGGCAGTGACCAGGGATAAATTCAGAGCAGCCTCTTTACACCACAGTGATAATGACCATGAGAAGCTCTAGCACCTTTGTCAAAGCAAAGGGTGACTGAAGATCAAAGTGCCTGTTGTGGATACACAAAAGGAAGGGCACAGTGTGGTGACTCCACACACCAGATAGAATGCAATAATTTTGTATGATTACAATGAACAACATTAAATACAGTAGATAACGATTGTAGGAAGGTGACTGCCAGCTCTCAACGTCCTCTGTGCTGTGCAGTGTATAACTAGCATAAAACCATTCAGCCAAGAGTACAAGTGCATTTGTGATACAAACACTGCTCCTGATCAGCAAGCTATGTGGCCTTGGGCAGGATCAGCAGATACATGAGATGGCAAGGACATCAATGTTCTTCAGTAACATGACACTCTGTCTCTAGCATAGGATCCCAAGCTAACACTCCTTGACATCACAGGGAGAGCCAAACACCTACCCTGTACTACAGCATGCTAGCTATACTCTCTTCAACTCCTCTCCATGTACAGCCACATGACTCTACCTGGGAAACAGGACCTGTCTGGTACTGAAACTATTTTCTCAGATTTCTCCAGTTCTCTGACTTTCCACTTTATTGTTCTGTGAGTTCATCCTCTAACCCAATGACCTCTCAAAGCTCCTTTTGTTCTTCTTCTTTAGTTTTCAAGACAGGGTTCTTTTGTGTAGTCCTAGCTGTCCTGGAATTTACTCTGTAGACCAGGGTAGTCATGAACTCAGAGACCCACCTTCTTCCTCTCTAGTGTTGGGATTAAAGGCACCCTTAAAGGTATAAACTCTAATACTTTCTTGATTTTGAGAGCCAGAGAGAGGACATATATCAGCCTAGACTTATTCATGCTCTTCTTAGACCACTGAACCAATGTATAACTAGAGTAAATGCTTATTTGCACTCAGCACTTCCAGAAGCTTTGTTGATGCTCTTATTAGAGAAAATCCTACATTGGTGAAAGTAGCAGCATGGAGGGCTACTATTTTAAGGCAAATGTTTCAAAAAAGCACTGATCTACATTCAGAAGTGGCTAGGATTTCAGCACAAATTGAAGTGAAAGAAGTATAGATTTATTAATTTGTAAGATATAGTTTTAAAATAAATGTGTGATCCAGACTCCATGAACATGGGTGTCAGTGAGGACACCTCGGAAATCTATGGGGCCCCTTGTAGTAGATCACTATTTATCCCTAACATAGGAATGGACTTTGGGAGTCCATCCCACATAGAGGGATACTCCCTGAGCCTAGACACAAGGGGGAGGGGCTAGGCCCTATCCCAAAGGCAATGACAAACTATGAGGACCCTCTATGGAAGGCCTCTCCCTCCCTGAGTTACAGAAAGGGTATGAGATAAGTAGGGTGTTAGTTGGGGGGGGCAGGGGAGGATGGGAGGGAGAGGGAACTCGGATTGACGTGTAAAACAATCTTGTTTCTAATTTAAATAAAAAATGGAAGAAAAATAAATGTGTGAAAAAGTATTATACATAGGTACAATACTCAAAATGTGCCAAATATAAAACAGTATGACTTCCCCTAATAAAGAACCAGATAGAATTTAGGCAATTCCTGTTCCATTTGGACTCACCAGTGCAAAGGGGCTGTGTTAAAACAATGAGTATGCAGTAGATGTGTGCTTTTTTGAAATATGCTTCAGATATTTTCTTTCCATTAAAAGGTAAATTGAAACTTGTTACAGAATTTTATGAAAATGACACTCCTAAACTAAGGGTCATCTTTGTACGACACTTTAAGCAAGGTGGACAGAAAAGCTGAAATACTTCCTACAGCCATTTTGCTGTAAAATTTTGCTGATATACAGAAGAAAATCCTCTGCTTCCTCTTTTCTCTTCCTCCTCCTCCTCTTTCTTCTCGTCTTCCTCTTCTTCCCCTAATCTTGATTCAGCTGGTGGATTCATCTCTGCCAAACCATATTACAAAATTATGATTTTTAAAAAGCCACTAACTGTGAATCAAGTGTAGCACAAGACTCATCCATGTCTGGACTCAAGCTTGTATGGGACACATTGCTGGCAGGTGGGAGGGGTCCCAAAGCCACTCTGCCCTTCTTCCTTAAGAGTTCACATTCATTTCAGACATTTGCTTCAGCCTTCAAGAAGAGGGAATCTACCCTCAGTTCCAGGAATGAAAATAGCTGTTCTATATTGGACACAGATAATCAAACCAAAAGAAAATTTGGTACATGTTAGGGTCTCCCTTTCTAGCATAAACATTCCTTTCTCTATCCCACTAGGTAAGAATAAGAAAGGCTATAATTGAATGGTCAAATGTTTTATGAAGATGGGATAAACTGGATTCAGGATACAATAAAAATTATGAAGGTATAGCCAAAATTATAATCTGCCAAGATATTATATTATGGGTCCTTTTGGTATACTGCCCCCTCCTATCTCTGCTCCCTTATTTAAATGTGCCCGCTACCTTCCTTTCCCCTTGCCATGTCTACCTCCTTTGCCTCTTAGGAAGTAGCCAGATCACTTGGTTTTCTTGAGGCCTCTCATCAGAATCATTATCACCTCCAGACACTTTAGGATTTTATGCATATGCCAAAACCACAATATTTAGTTTTAAATATCTGCTTGAATCCTCAATATCCATGCGTCCTGCATAGAGCAAAGATGCCACAGAGAAAATTTGCTTGCTTCTCAGGCTGACCTCAAAAGCTTGGGCACAAGTGGTGTACTTGCCTAGGCCTCCCAAATTCGAGGAACAGTCCCTGGGTTCCAGGGAGAGATTCGGAACCTGACTGATACATAGTAATGCCCATGCAACCTCCTGAGTAGTGTTCACATACGGAAAATGTAACAGCCGTTTATGAGCTTGACATTCATCTGACTTTACTTAGCTCATCCCAGCATGGACCTCAAATCTTTTCCATCTTTGGAACTTTCCCACAGACAATGGGAATAATTCTAGATTGTACATTTCACTTGTGAGTCACCTGTAAGCCCCAAGTTATAGCCTTTACAAGCTAACTTTTCCACTGTAATTTCATTTAACTCAGAAATTTATTTGACGTGTTTCTCTTTCTTTTATTGTCATTTTGTTATTCATTTAATTTTAATACGGCAGGGTTTTTCTATGTAGCTGGCCTCAGACACCATAGTCTTTCCCTCCATTCTCCCTGGTACTAGAATTACAGGCATGGGTCCCCATTGTTGGGCTCCTCTTTAACCTTCATGGTGGCAGATGTCTTTGGGGTGACTGAATTTCCCACAAAACTTCTTTGGGGAGGAACTTCCTTCTCCCTGAGTGCTTCAAGACACTCACTGAATTTCAAAGGCCTTATTCACACTGTGAGACCAATTGCTATCTGTCATAGCTGAGCAAACCTAGGTCCCTTCTCCAGAAACGTCATTAGGACTAGGAGACTCAACTGTACTCTGAGCTTGTCTCCCGAGTAGCTTAATTACATAAGAAACTCCACCTACTACAGTGTGCAGCAGATTTCCTCTGCTGTGGTAAAGCCATATAGAAAGAAAGCCCAGAAAGTTCTGGCTTTAGGCAGTATCTACCCTTCCTAGTAGATGGGCATAGTGAGTGTTAATAAATCAGGGGAATTTGGTCTCCAAATGCTGAACATCCAAAGACTTTACCAACATTCTTTCTATTAATTTGGGGATTAGCAAATTCCTGTCTTCTTTAGCAAGAAGCTAAGCCAACTCTTATTTTTGACAATGGACTCAAGCTCCCAGTTTCTCCCAAATCAACTAAAAGCAGCAGCTTTGTGCTTACTTTTGACCTTAGCAGCAGGGGTCAGGGTCAAAACAAAAACAGCCCAAGGGAAGGGCCACAGAAAAACATTAGGCAGACATGTGAGTACAGCAAACATCTTGAAGGTGTCAAAACTATAGTTTGCTTTCAAATAATACCTAATAATTGTTACTGTGAAAGATCTAAAATATTGATATTTCAATACAAAATAGCATGATAAAAAAGCCAGCTAAATGGATGGCACCTCTGGAGCTGGCGATGGGACACACAAAGAATGCTTTACTGTTCTGAGCAGCTGTCCGTGCTCAGGAAGGAAGCCTGTGTGGGCTCCATGTGGAGCAGTAAAGTTACATGGAGAAAATAACTCACTTGTCACATCAGTCTTTATCCCAGCAAGCTTCAGCAGAGGCTCCACCTTCTCATAATAGACTTGGACAGACTCCTTTCTGTGACTCTGGGTGTTGAGAAGGATCTTTAGAGCCTTTGGCCTGCTTGGGAAACCTAAAATGAAAATACATAAGGTTAGACTGCCCATCAGAATATCATATATGTATCTAAATAGTGTTTGCTGTTTGTATCTTAGATTCTTGCTTGAACATGGCTTTTTTTTTTTTTAACCATCTGCTTTCCTAGTAGTGAAACACGATGCTTTCCCTTTTCAAGTAAGTCATGCTTTATAATGAGCATGTTATTCAGAAGGAAGGTAAATAATAGCAACTCGTAGACATGGAAGCAGTACTGATGCACACTGACCCACTCATAGATGAGGCACATCTTTGTGGAGACAGGCTGTGGGTTGTAACAAACAAAATGTATACTTCCTTCTCCTTAGATATATACTTACGTTGGAACTGGGCACCTAATGACCTCGGTCTTCCCACATCTGACCTACCCAATGACTCCAGGGACAGACTGAGCAAGCAGGGGCGAGTCACTGTTATCAACCAGTGTAGTGCATGCTGGTGGATGAAAGGAGGCCTGAGGTCAGAGTTCAAATCCCAGAAGGTGGCAGGGGAGAAAGCACTTTTCTCCTGGGGGCTGGGAAGGCCTCCCCTCTCAGAGGGCAGCGGAGATGGTGACAGTGGCAGGCTGTTTCACAGTTGGGACTGAGATTTGATACTGCAATTTTCTGGGCAAGAGGCTTGGCACTGAGAACCCACACTGAGCAGGTGCAGAGTCAATTGTCTGCTGTTAGGAAGGGGCAGGAGCCAAAAGAAAGCTGACAACCATTTCTTTCGTGGTAAGCTGTTCTCAGAAGAGAGCATTTTAACATTACAAAAGCAGCTAGCATCCATTTATAATAAAACCATTGCTGAAGATAAATGGAAGAAAATGTCCGTTTATATCAAACTCTGTGTTTCATGCTTCACTTAGGGAGAATATTTTCCTCTCTTATGATATTTGACACAATAAAAATCTTTGACCAGCGCATACTGTTTGAATTCAGGGAGATCTTGAGATGAGGAATGGACAGAAGCCATGCTGAAGCCTTTGGACATTCTCAAGAAACCTTTGGGGTCTCTGTTTTGATGAGAAGCCTCGTGGTTCTCCAGATCACACATGAGACCCATACATGCCTCTCTCTTTCCAGGTCTTGTATTTGAGTGAGCACTCATCAGTGCTCCATTGTTCCAAAAGTGGCCCTGGCATCTCTTTGCTGTGGACACTGCCCGAACCCCTTACAATGACCTTCAGTGACAGCAAATTCCATCTTTTTTCTATTTTTTTATTTAAATTAAAAACAAGCTCATTTTATATGTCAATCCCCATTCCCTCTCCCTTCCCTCCTCCTCTGCCCCCCACTAACCCCCTATCCCATCCCCTTTCTGCTCCCCAGGGAGAGTGAGGCCATATATGAGGGATCTTCAAACAATCTGTCATATCATTTGGAACAGGGCCCTCCCCCATGTGTTTAGGCTGAGAGAATATCCCTCTATTTGGAATGGGCTCCCGAAGTCCATTCTATGCCAGGGATAAATACTGATCTACTACCAGAGTCCCCATAGACTGCCGAGACCTCCTCACTGATACCCACGTTCAGGGGGGCTGGATCAGTCCTATGCTAGTTTCCCAGCTATCAGTCTGGGGTCCATAAGCTCCCTCTTGTTCAGGTCAGCTGTTTCTATGGTTTTCACCAGCCTGGTCTTGACCCCTTTGCTCATCACTCCTCCCTCTCTGCAACTGGATTCCAGGAGTTGAGTTCAGTGTTTAGCTGTGGATGTCTGCTTCTGCTACTGGATGAGCAAATCCCATCTTAAGCCAGTTCCTCTCCTCTCACAGTCAACATTCAATAATGACTCATTGAACCTTTGTGCTCAATCCTGGAAAGAAGGGTCTGAGAAGATGTAGCAATAGTGCAGAATGGTCAGGACCAGTGGTCCTTAACCTCCCTAAGGCTGAGACCCTTTAATACAGTTCTTCATGCTATAGTGACCCCCAACCATAAAATTTTTCCACTGCTACTTTATAACTGTAATTTTGCTACTGTTATTAACTATAGTGTAAACATTTGATATGCTGGATGGCCTTAAGTGATTCCTGTGAAGAGGATCAAGGAATCAAGATTCCCCAGGTTGAGAACCACAGACCTCAACTCTCAGCAGAGTCATGAAACATTTGTGGGGGGGAGTGTATGGGGTGGGAGTGTGTGGAGGAGGGTTGGGAGTGTATGGGGCATGCATGTGTGTGTGGGGGAGTCTATGGGGGCATGTGTGTAGGGGTTGGGAGTGTGTGGGGGAGTGTGGGGGACGTGTATGGGGTGGGAGTTAGGGTGTTATGGGGTAGTGTTGCTTCTTAGGGGCCTGGAAAAGCCCCCTTGAAGAAAGGAGGATTTGAGCAGGGCATTTCCCCTCCACCTAGAATGTCTTCCCCTGTTACTGTGTGATTCATTAACTATCTGCCCATGAGATTCTTCGTGACACCAGCCTAACTGACACAAAAAAAGCTGTATTAATACAACAAAGGCTTTTCTGGGGCTGTTTCAACTTCTTTATGACGACTCAATCCATTACACTGCATCAGATGCCAAAGCTGGGCCTTCTTCACTCAGGTGGTTTTGTTTCTGTTTCAAACATGCTTTAAAAAAAAAAATAAAAATCCTACCATTTGTTTTTCAAGGCTAGTTTCAAACTCCACATCCTCCCAGGAGCCTTTCTTTGTCATCCCCAGAATCCATCCATCCGTTTGGCTGCTCTGTGCCCAATTTACTCCGGGCTCGTCTGTTACCTGGTTCTTGTACCATTTATACAAAAGTCTCTGATGGAACATCTTGGGACTTTCACTAACCAACCATAGCTCAGTTTAAAATGGGAGACTTGACAGTAATATATTAAACTGTACTGGGTTTCTTAAACATTCAACTTGAAAGGCTACATGGTCACTAAGCAAATGATAAAATGGGAAATTTTGTCTCAGAATAATAATATATATGAGGCATTCTAAACTTAGAAAAATCTTGTTTTTAGACATTAGAAAAAATAATTCAGGCAAAAAGTTACTGGTGCCAGAATCATCTGGTGACAATTAGGGACGGCGATTTACATATTCCTAAACTCTGTCACTTTACAAGACCCTGAAGCAACTGCAGTTGCATGCCCCACCCCGAGAGACTCTGGATCCAGTGAGAAGATCCATGTTGCCGACTCTTAACCAGGGACTAAACAGGCAAACTCCTGGTTTTCTCTCATTAAACCATGATAGAGCCAGGAGCTGGCTTTAAACTTCAGGCACAGCAGTCAGAAGCAATGCCTTGGTCCATCTGCTTTGAATAGGGCATTAGCCTAAAGGTCCTCTTTCCTTTGGTAAACAGACAGTACCCACACAATTGGTATTGCAAAACCTGACTTTAATTTGTCCATTTTCCTATGACCCTATTTTCCTCACCAACCTCCATACCTATGGTGTAGCTAGTAGAAGCAGGGCATCTGAGGCTCCATTTAATAAAGCCCATGTCCTTACAAAGGTGATGTCCTAATTGCAGAACAGCAACAAATAAAGGAGCTCAGAGTAGGTTAAAAGGTATCTGATGGATGTAAGGACAAAATTGCAGCACAGCAGAGTGAGAGAGAAGGAAGAGGTGAAGGTGACTCCCAGGATGGGAGTCCTGAGAGTTATAACATCCTCCAGAGAGTTATAAGTATTCCCAGGAACTTTGTTCTTTGTTGCTTAGAAATAGATGCATGGTGAATTTTGAGCAAAGCAGTAATATAACCTTTGGTTTTTCAAGGCTCACTCTGGTTTCTACATAGAAGGTGAACATAGTAGGACTACAGGAAAACCAAGTCAGCACAGCTGGTTAACATTCTGAGTAGAAGACAATTGTTCTTGGACTAGAGTGGGTGTAACAGATGTTGAAGCAAATACTGGATTTTACATATAGTTTTAAAGTGGAACTGATGAGAATTTACATCCTTTAGATAAGGCCCCTGAAATAAAAGTGTCCTGAGGAGTCAAAGGTGGTTAGATATGGGGGAAACAGAGAGCTGGGTCACTCCTAAGGCAAGAATGAATCCAAACATTCATGTGTGGGGTATGATAAGCAGTAAAAATGCAGCACCATGTATGAGAACTAGTGGCATGATGACCATCATCTCAGGAGACTGATGGACTTTCCGAGGAAAGCAGGCAGGTGAGTTAAGAAGACTAAAGGAAACAGGCTGCAGGGAAGAGGCTTGAAATCAAGAGTGAGAGCACTGTGGGTGGCAGAAATGAAAAGCCTAGACCTTGCACAAGCTCCGTGTGAGGCTAATGGGCTCTGGGGAACATTATGAATGTGTACATAGTGAACTATGTATATAAATTTGTACAAGGTATTGTTGCTCATATCTATAATCCCAACACCCAAGAGAAAAGGCAAGAGGATAGTTGTGAGTTCAGGACCCACTTGGCCTCCATAAAGAGGAGCTGTATAGTGAGACCCTTTCCAAAAGAACAGCAATTGTGGAAAATTATTATAGGAGAGTGTGAATGAAGTAAAACACTCAAGAGCTTTCAAGGAATGGACACTGACACTAAGAGAACGTGTGAGAACATGAAATTACTCCCAGCACAGTATAGCAGAGTAACTGCCAATAGCTTTAGTCTTTAAGAGATTAAAAAGAAAAAGAATTACCCCTTGCAACAAGTCATGCTAACTGGAGGCCTGATGGATTGGTGTCAGGGCTCAGTGCTTCTAGGAGTGGAGGGAGAGAGGCGGAAGCAGCATCGTCCCAGTATCTCCCAGAAAGAATGGTTCAGAGAAGCCGTCACCCCGTGAAAGGGCTGCAGGGGGAGCTGTAGGTCCTCCGGAGAGCTGGGTCACTCCTAAGGCAAGAATGAATCCAAACATTCATGTGTGGGGTATGATAAGCAGTAAAAATGCAGACTCTGCTAATGGTGGGCCGTTCATCCCAGAGGACAGAGTGGAGGTGTCTGCAGTTGAGGAAAGCAAGGAACAGTGCTGGGGTGGTCTTGCAGAGCTCCAGAGGATGAGGAGGGTGTTAGTAATGAGCCTTCTGTGGCCC